CCCCAAAACCCCAAAACCCCAAAACCCCAAAACCCCATTCTAACTCATATTTATTAAAATGATGAATGCGACGAAGAAGAGAGACACTCTGGCAAAGATATCAGGCTCTGGCTTGGGCCAACCTGTCAAAGAGATACAGAAACCCTTTCAAAACCCTGAGTCTGACTCTGAGGAAGGGGAAGTGAAGGATTTGGTATTTTTACAGTAACCTTTTGGATTAGATAGAAAACAACAACCTTAATAAGTCAACTAATTCTTCAGAGATGATACATTCAAAGGGTCTGATTGAGCACAAAGATTCAAAGGATGTAACTTAATTCTAATTCTCATAGACAATGCTACAGAAATCTGACTATATCTTTTGGGGTGATAGCAAAGCTTCGTACTCTTCTAATTTCAGTGACAACAATAAAGAAGTAAGCGAAGAATATAATGAAGAGTCCTTCACATTTTCTGATTGGAAGCATAACAAGGGAGTATTTGCACCTAAAGTAGCCAACCCAAAAACCCTCAAGGAAATTCTGCCCAAAATTCTATGTCATCTGTGCGGCAAAAGAGGACATTTGTCTGAAAAATGCTCTGAAATCCAACCTCACGAGATCTACACTCAACTTGTCGATAAATAAGTAAAACAAGCTCTAATTACTTTAGGCACAAATTCCAGGTCCTCTCCCGCTTAGAGTCAGACCCTGAGTTCCTCCAGGCCTCGAAGACCGTGACTTGTTATGTGTGTAGGGAGAAAGGCCATTTTCCTGTTCTGTGCAAGTAAGGTCCATCAGGAAAGAAACTTACAGAAACTTATGAGGTTTGAATGGAGCAGTAACCTGAAGGGGATACGTAGGAGGTATAATAAGATAGTTGAGTCCCATATTAGTCGCTTGAATCTTATGGAGCTTCCTTGATGTTCACCAGTGTGGATGGATATGTTCGAAGCAGTTTATAAGTTCCATTTGAGAATGAGGTTTGGTAGTGGATTGATGGATGATGATGAAGTTGGAAGGAGACCAGAGAATTTAAGTTAATTTTCAGTTTTTAGTAAAATTTTGGGGTTTTGGGGTTTTGGGGTTTTGGGGTTTTGGGGTTTTGGGG